GGAGCCGGCATCGGAATCGCCACCCTCGGTGTTGCTCCCGCACCTCGCTCAGCCAGTGAGCGGGAACCGGTCTGTATGTGGGATCCGAACCCTCGGCGGGAGCGCTGCCACACTCCCATACTGTAGCAGTGCGCCACTGGGCCGGCCCATGAACTCATTAAATTTTAAAAATCTAAAGAAAATAAGTTTAAAACGTGTTTCTGCAACACATTTTGCCACTACAAGGCAACAATGCCACCTCTGCGTCTCCAGCTGCAATGGCACTGCCAGCCTCCCGGGCCTCTGTGACAGCTGCATGAGTCCACAGGAACAACGTGCACACACCAGCCCAGCACGTGCCAGCACTGCAGACCATCCACCCTTATCATCTCATCCCTGATCCAAATGGTTAACCCCCGCCGAGCCACGTATGCATGTACATTTTCTAGCAGCCCCATTAAAAACGGTAAGAAAAAACAAGTGAAATTTATTCTAATAATACATTTTATTTAACCCGATGCTATGGTTTGAATGTCCGCACCCAAACTCATGTTGAAACTTAATTGCCACTGTAACAGTATGAAGAGGTGGGACCTTCAGGAGGTGATCAGGTCACCAGGGCTCTGTGCTCACGAATGGGTTAAAGCCATTATTACAGAAAGGATGAGTCTGGTCGGTTTCCTCTCCGTCTCATGCACACCCTCGCCATGGGATGCCTTGCACCATGGGATGGCCCGTGCCATGTGCCAGCACCCTGCTCTGGGACATCCCAGCCTTCTTCCCATGAGCCAAATAAACTTTCCAAATCACTCAGTCTGTGGTATTCTGTGACAGCAGCAGAAGATGGACTAAAACACCCAAATCCAGAATACTATCATTTCAGTAAGTAATCAATATAAAAAGTATTAGAGATACTTATGATATTTTTGTGTGTGCCTTGAGTGTTCAAAATCCAGTCTGTATTTTACACTTGCAGCATATCTCATTTTGGACCAGTCACATTTCAAATGCCCAGTGTGGCTGGCTGGTGGCTCCTGTCTAGGACAGCACAGGGCAAAATGCACCAAGCTCTGGCAATCACAGGAAGAAGCCAGTTATCTGGAAATGGCCCCTAGGTGTGACAGCCACCCATCAAGGGCATCTTGGGATAGAGGTGCCAGGGTCTGGGTGCCTGGTAGGTACCCCGGCTATGTTTTCTCTCCGACCATGCCCCTCAGCTCCAGAGGGCACGGGGCACAGAGCTGGCAGCCAGAGACCCTGATTAAACATTAAGCCCCGCGGCCGGCCCACCTCCACTACGCAGCACACTCTCTGACTCAGCAGAATAAATGGGAACAGGAAACATTAACCTTCCCACTGTAGCGACCTTTACCAGTTGCCTCTCTGTGTCCAGATTCTTCTCTGCCTACCGCGAGTCTAAACATCCTACAGAAGAGGCAGGTGGCATCACAGGTTATCCAGCCTGGCCATTATGAGCAGATGCCACAGCCGGGGGGAGGGGAGGGGGATACACGGAGCCAGCCCCTCCTTCTACCTCCTTCTGCAGGCAGAGGTGTGTCCCCCACCACCCCTAAGCTGGACCCCCCTCAAATGCTCTGTCACACTGTTCTCTGGCCATTTCTAGGCTCCCAGGCAGAGCCAAAGCTCTCCAGTGGCAAAGACCTGTTATTAAACACCAAAGGAACATTCCACAAAGAAAGCCTCAGGCTCCTTCTGTGGCCCTACACGTCCTTCAGGACCAACCCAGTGCCAGGCCAGAGTGCTGCCAACTGACAGGCAGACTCCCCACGACAGGCAGGCAGCCCAGGTGGTGAAGCCAGACCCAGCCAGCCAGCAACCCTGACCTTGGCCTCACGAGCTCCTGCTCTAGTGAACCCAGAATGAACTGGCTCCCCCGCACCCCTGGCCCCTGGCTTCATGCGATGCTCAGGACCCCCAGCCAGGCTCGCTCTTCACCCAGAACCAAGAGGTACCTGCAGGCGATATGGGGAAGATAGACTCCCCGGGTCCTGCTTGGTGTGATTTCTCGGAGCCCAGGCCCCCCAGCCAGGACCCTTTCTCCCTCAAGTCCCTCCAGAAGTCATCAGAGCCAAACAAGGCCCTCCCTTGAACGGTCACTCAGAGGTTTAAAAAAGCCAAAAACAAAACCCCTTTCAGCAACCAGGGCCCTTCCTAAGCAAGCTGGATGAAAAGTGCTTACGAGCAGGAAAGAGTAAGTAAACGTTCCTGTGGCTTTGGCTCTACCTGGCAGAAACTCTAGGCATGTGTACAGAGCAAGGCTCGTGGGAGGTTCCCTGCAGCAGCAAGGGGCAGAGGGAGATGTAAGGATAAGGCGACAGCGACGTCACTCACATGGCACTGCTGTGTGCCAGGCACTGTCCTAGGCCCTGCTTTTATCAGTACATCTCACAAGCTTCTGATACAAGACAGAGTCACTGCAGAAAAGGCAGCAGGGCTGGGAGACTTCCCTTTGCTTCAGGGTGTCTTGAACCCTCAGTGATTCAGTCTCCTTCTCCATCACCACCTGGCTCTTTCCAGCCGCCCAGCCCCAGAGGAGAAGAGGGGTCTGGGGAGGGGCCCCAGCCCACAGCACGGGAGGACAGGGAGGAAGGAGCGGTTGAGGCCACTTCCTGTGGCTTGTTTTCGCAGGTTTGCAGGATCTGGCCTCCATTCCCAGAAATGGACCTGTAGAGGAGGGAAGACCTAACAGCCCCTCTGCTGACTGCAGGGCAGGGGCCTAATTACGGGGTGTGTCAGGCTTAGACTTCAACGTGCAAGACAGAGAGGCCTGGGCTCTTGTCCCAGGGCAGTCACAAACAAGCATATGGCCCAGGGCGACTGGCCGACTTCCTGGCTCAACTTCCTCATCTGTAACTGGAAAGAATAATAACCGCCCTTGTCTCCAACACAGAGCTTCTGAGGGGGCAAACTATACAGAAAAGCCCCCTTTCAAGAATGCTCCTGGGAAAGCAGAAACTATGCTCGTGCATCCCTGCCAAGGGTGCAGAACTTCTCTGGGATCTAGACTAGTGCATCCACCTTGCTGCGGTCAAAGTGCACCCAGGAGAGCCATGCTGGCACTACAGGAAAAGCAGTGAGTGCCCTCAGGAAGGCAGGCTGGGGCTCTGCGTGCCACTTCTCGAGGGGAGGTCAGAGCATATAGCGCTGCCACAGGGGAATATGTGGATTTAAAGTGTTCTAATGTACCAGCATTACTGGGGAAGTAATTAAAAATAATCACTTATATTGTACTGTAATAACTTAAGGATGCATGCTGTAATCTCAAGAGTAACCGCTAAATAATAGTAGAGGAATATAAAACATAAAAGCTAAAAACATGTACAGAGAAAACAGGTCTTAAAGGTAAGATGTGGGAGAAGGGAACATAACAGATGGATCCAACAATAAACAAAAAAGTAAGATAGTAGATATAAACCCCAATACATCAGTAATTGCATTAAATGGATATTCCCATTACAAGACTGAGATTATCCATCTATACTTAAAACACAAAAAACAACTATATACAAGAGGTCTTCAAAAAGTTCATGGGAAGGGCCGAGCCCGTGGCGCACTCGGGAGCGCGGTGTGGCCGGTCTCAAAAAGGACAAAAAAAAAAAAAAAAGTTCATGGGAAGATTTGGATGATCTTTTAATTCAATTTTTCCATGAACTTTCTGAAGTGCCTTGCATACTGCTCATGAAAGATATACTTTAAATATAAGAACTTTAAAAAGTTGAAAGCAGAGGGAAGGAAAAAGAGATACTACGCAAACATTAACCAAAACAAAGCTGGAATATAGTTATAATCATATCAGACAATGTAGACTTTCATGAAGATAAAAAGGGGCATAACATATAATAAAGGGGTCAATCACCAGACTATAAAAATTCTAAATCTGTAGGCAACCAATAACATAGCTTGGAAACATAGAAAGCATAAGTCAATAGGCTAAAAGAAGTATGTAAATCTACAACTTTAGCATATGACCTTTAAATGCCTCTCTTTGATAGAATAAGCAGACCACAGAAATCATTAAAAGGTCTGATCAATTTGAATAATAAACCGGACTATACAGACAGATCACTGCTCCCAACAATGTTAAAATTCTTTTCAGGTACACATGGAACACTTACCAAAATATTTTCATTTGGAGTCAATGGTAAAACCCCTATTTTATAGAAGGGAAAACCAAGGTAGGGCCCAAGGTCGCACAGGAAGCAGGGCTGGAATTACAACCCAGATATTATGATGACCTAAAGCTCAGTTCTGACCCCAAATCCAATATATGACCCTATCCTTCAAACCATTCTTTAACAAATCTAACATCCACAGATCACCCTGCCCACAGCATCAGAGCCATATTGTCCCATATCCAAATTGGACTTAGGACGCCTGCCTCCATTTCAATATCAAAATGAACCCCTGGAACTGGTTCAAACCTTTGCCTTTGACCTCCATACAGCTGAATACTGCTGTTAACCTCCCCAAACACTTGTCTGGGTCCCTGCAGCAACCCTACCTCCTGAGATCTAGAACAATCCCTTTCCTTCGTATCTCCAGAGTAAAACTTCCTAAAGCCTGTCAGCCTACACCTCAAAAACCCATCACCCCTATGAGGGAAATAAAGGCTAAGAGTTTTCTAGGAGAACAAAGTAGAGCAGTGGTACTTGCAACTGTTTAGACAATGATTCACCAGTAAACCATGATTTTCACATTGCGATGAAGAACATACTTAAATAGTATGTTTATACTCTCAAACAAAAATATTTTTGCAATGTATATAGTTCTAAGGATCTGTAATATTGATCTGATCTTTTCTATTCAATTCCATTCTGTTTAGCTTATTTTTGAAATCCTGGCCCTGAACCACTAAACTGATTTCACACTCGCTTAAGGGTCATAACCTATAGTTTGAAAATATGTGGGTGAGGCAGAAGGCCCAGAATTCACCCCTGGGGCCAGAACAGCACGTTCTTTCCTGATCTGACTCCTCTTTGCTCCCATCCTGCCTCCTCCAAGCCTGAAACACTACCTGCCAACTGCTTGGGCAGCAATGTGGGCATCTCTGAATCACAGCTGTGGGCAAACTTCCAGCACACAGACACCCACAGACGGCTCCAGGAATCAGGCAGCTGTCAGCAAAAGCTCAAGAGGCTTCTGATGGTGCAAAGCACCTACAAGATCAGGGCTTCCCCTCACCCCAACCCAGGCTCCCTCTGGCTGCCCACGTCCCCCACCGTCGGAGGAAAGCCCTCTACCCTGGTTTTTCTCCTACACACCTTCCTATATAACCCCTTCCAGGTCAGTCTCTGTCTGCTTTAATCACCCAAAAGGGCCTGACTTTTGCCTACTTCACCAGGACTTTATGGTGTTCCACCAAATTCTAGTTCACCATCAAGACTTTCCTTCTGACCCCCTTCCCGAAACAGAACCTCCCTTACCCCCACTGCCTCTCCCTAATCCAGGAGAGGATTGTACCCATCCTAAAATAAGCAAACTCAGCCTTCTGGGGACAGGGCTTGCCACAGAATCTGAAGTGAGGGAAACGGGGGTTATAGAGAAAGACTACAGATGTAAAATAGGTGGTTCCTGCCCTCAAACTCATGGGGGAAAGGCAGGGCTGGAGGGAGAACTTCCATTCAATATTTTAATAAGAAATAATAAATGTTACCCAAATACTAGCCACTGCACAAAGCAAAAGCACACACACAATAGCGGGTCTTCATGACCCACGTGGCACTAGGGTCAGCATGAACCGAGCCGACCTCTGTTATATACAGCCTTGCAAATAACTACTCGCCCAAGGCCAGTATATGAATCAAGCTGCCAAAACTATTGCTTTCATTAATTATATTGCCTGAGGACAGCTGAGCATTGAAGAAATGCACTTCCAGAACTCCATCATCCTACCGCAGAGGAAATGGTACTTCCAATAGGAACATCTTGGTTAGTAAATAAGCAATAGATGTGACAACACAGTGCCATAAAAGCAGATACAACTACTATAAAACTTCACTGTAAAATGATCCTTCAACTCGTATAAAAACAGCACAAGTGTACTGGACGCAATGGCTACTCAAACCTCCAAAGAAAAGCACAGATGAAGCTCACAACACTACAGTGCATTGAAATGACTTGAAATGATGGCAGCTCAGGGCCACAGCATCTTGTCATTATTTCACTGACAAGCTGCAGGCCTGTGGGATCCAGCAAATGGGCTCCCCAAACGGCTGGTCCCAGGGGCAAAAATGCTCTGTTTAGGAGCTGAACAGCCTCACTACCCGCCTCCTTCCTGCTGAGGCCTCCACAGCAGCCGAACAGCGGTGGCGGTGGGGCTGGGGCAGGGGACCTGACGCTGCAGATGCCATCCCCAGAGAGGCCCGACATGCAGTCCAAGCTCACGCGTGGCATCAGCCACACACCAGCCCCCAGGGGGAGCCAGGCCAGAGCTGGAATCTGGTAACTGCATCATCCAGCGGAGAAAACATCCCGTCCCCCAACAGCTAATGCAACAGCAGGCACTGCCACCTGCTCTCCCATTTCCTCTTTCGGATGTGGCATCAGCCACACACCAGCCCCCAGGGGGAGCCAGGCCAGAGCTGGAATCTGGTAACTGCATCATCCAGCGGAGAAAACATCCAGTCCCCCAACAGCTAATGCAACAGCAGGCACTGCCACCTGCTCTCCCATTTCCTCTTTCGGACATTGCTGGGCCCCCACCCGTCCCATCTCTATGCAGGCCCCAGGGTGGCCCTGGCGCTGCTCGGCCAGGATGGGCTGGCAGGGGTGGGGAGGCGGCATGGGGCACAGCCACCTTACCTCCAAAGTTGGCCAGCCGCCCAATCCGTGTCACTGGCACCTTCCGCTCACNGTCCCCCAACAGCTAATGCAACAGCAGGCACTGCCACCTGCTCTCCCATTTCCTCTTTCGGACATTGCTGGGCCCCCACCCGTCCCATCTCTATGCAGGCCCCAGGGTGGCCCTGGCGCTGCTCGGCCAGGATGGGCTGGCAGGGGTGGGGAGGCGGCATGGGGCACAGCCACCTTACCTCCAAAGTTGGCCAGCCGCCCAATCCGTGTCACTGGCACCTTCCGCTCACGAGCCCGTTCACTGAGCTGGAGGGAGGAAAGAAAGAGACCTCATGGGATCAGCAAACAGGACCCACCTTCTGGGGTTCCCCCACCCCCCAGACACCCAAAGGCAGCAGCGCTACTAAGAAGAGGCCTCCACGTTCCTAAACTGCCCCGAGCTCAGCATCCACAGAAAGTCCCCATGTGAGTGGGACCCGCCCAGTCCCGCCCGGGGGACCCTCGCGGACACACCATCTGCTTGTGTGGCTTGCTCTCAGGGCTGGCCTTGGCCTGCCGGGCCTTCTCAATGTCCTCGGCCGTGAGGCCCCCCACCGGGGACTGGTCCTGGTGGAAGAACCTTCGCTGAAAGCCCACGGCACAGAATGACTGTCGGGGGTCGGCAAAGAGCCTCCCGTGGACCCCAGCCAGGGGGGAGGCGGCCTGGCCCGGGAGCCCAGCTTCCCTAAAGGGGCCACTGGCAGCGTAGGCAGGAGCGGGGCCCTCGCTGGGGGCATGGCCCGGGGACGGAGGCGGCGACAAGTCGGGGGCAGAGGCTGCAGCGAAGTCCGTCGAAGCTCCTGCCGCCTGTGGCCCTGAGAAGTGGAGCTCCGACTCCGGGCCATCGAAGCTCTCAGGATGAGGCTCAGCATGTCTCTCCTGACCCTGCAAGGGACAAAGGCCAGCGTGAGAGGGGCGGCAAGCAGCCAGCGGCTCTCCCTGTGTCCCCTGCCACCCGCTTCACCCTTCCAGAAGTGACACCGATGCTATGCCCAAGGACCCTGCATCCTTCCCAGCCTGGGAGCCAGGAGCCGGGTGCCAGTCCTGCTTCTGCCAGGTGTCTGCTGATGCCCAGCCGGGGCCAGGCCAGGTGCACGCGGCACCCAGCAGCAAGTCCCTCACCTGTAGGAGGGGACCAAGCTGGGGCCCCAGGGCTTCAGGGAGGGTAAACCAGGGCAAAAGACCGGCAAGCTTCCAGAGGTGGACACAGCCAAAGGCCAGCAAGAGGGGCACACGGATGGGGACCACCTGGCCCCTGCGGCCGCACCTCCCTGCACTCGTGGCACTTGCCAGGCTCTCACTGGAGTGGTGGCCGCAGCCGGGACCAGGCCTGGCCGTCCCCAGGAGCTCGGGGTCAGGGCGAGGAGGGGGCAGAAGAGACACCACCTCTTCCCTGTAACGGCCACCGAGGCCTGACCTTCGGGCCCAGGTTCTTTCTACTTTTGAACCAGGAGTGACCGTGAATGAGTTCCTGAGCCTTCTCTGCCACGTCCTCATCTGAAAATAGGGCTCCCCAGTGCCAGCATCACGTGGGGCCACAGACAGGGCCGGGAATGGCGCGAGGCGGCTGTGACTGCAGCAGCCCTGACTCCTGAAGGGGCCCGTGGCCTGCACTCCCTGGTCCCCCTGAAACGGGTCACGTGCTGCCTGTGGATTGTGCACAGGTGGCAGGAGACACGGAGCCCTCTTCTAAGACTCTGTATGACTAAAGAGACAGGAGGAGAGAGACTGGCTGTTACTCTGCACAGTTGGGAAACTGAGGCAGCGAGCACTGATGGGCCTGGGAAAGGCCACCAGCCAGTCAACAGTGTAGCAGGGACCCAGAGCCAAGGCATGCCCTGCCGGCCACACCAGGCCACCTGACAGCACTTTTCTCAGTAAAATAAACCACACTGAGAGTCACCAGGCCCCTCACAGACGGCCCGGGAAGCCCTGGAGTGAGGGTGTCCAGGGCGGGGACATTCCCCCTCCCCCCACGCTCCCACGGTAACCACCTGGCCCTGTGTTACTAACACCTGCTGATGCGGCTGCGGGGCCCCAAGGGCAGCAAAGGGTCCCCAGTGTCTCGGTGGGATCCAGCCTCAGTGAGTGTCTGCTCAGTGAGTAGGTGAACAGATCCCTTGAGGAGCGGGAGGGGGACAGGGTCTCAGTCCTCTGACCCTGGGTGCCCTCAGGAGAAGGCAGCACCAGGACGCTGCGTGTGCAGCACCAAAAGGAGCAAACTGGGGACGGTCGCCTGCTTGGGGGCCTCCTGCCTCCGAGGGATGGAGCCGGTGTGGCCTGTCCCTCCCACTCATGGAGGCTACATGCTGTCCCACTTCCAGGGAGGCCAGCGAGCTGGGGCAGCCTCACTTTCTGAGTGTCCCCCAGGCAGACACCCAATGGGAAGGCGGTGGCTCCTCACCCCAGGAAGCACTGAATGAGGCAGCTGGGCCACAGCACAACCTCGGCACGGGGATGGCAAAGAGGGGCGTCTGGGCTGGCAACAGGACAACAGTTCTGGTCCTGTCACTTAATGATCACAGGTCTCGTGGCAAACTGCTGAGTCTCAGTTTCCTCATCTGAGAAATGGGGTAACCCTCCAGCCTGCCCCAGCCCCAGGACAGCAGTGAGATCACAGGTACAAAGACTTCTGAGAGCTAAAGGTATACACGTGCCATGAGAGAGACAGTGTCAGCGAGGGACCCTGTGAGGGCAGGAGGGAGGGGCTGGGAGTTCTGAACCCGACACTGGCCAGAGGCTTGGGGACCACAAGACCTCACGGGCTGGAGGAGTGACGGTCAGGAGGTCGCCATCCACAGAAGACAAACAGGGCCCTGATCTGCAGATCCCCACATGCATCCCATGGGCCACCAGGATGGGTGCTGGCAAGTGGGTGGGGTGGCAGCCCTGCTCATGGCCACCCCTCCAGCACTCCCATTTCCTTGGATGTAGGATGTCGCAGCCTCCAGAACCTCTGCACAAAAGGCAATCTCCGTTCCAGACAGCACGAGGGACATGGGAGGCTGGAGGTGAAGCTACCTTCAGCAGGGCTGTGCCAGCTGCCACCCTGGGCAGGAGAGCCCCTGACTCAGGTGCCCAGAGACCCTCTGCAAAATGGAGGAGAAAGCCGAGGCTCACAGGCTTGGTGGGAAGAGCAGTCGCTGAGCCAGGCTGATCGCCACATGGCCCAAGATGTTTCATTAAATTCCTCTGTTCAAGCCCCACCCCCTCACGCATCCGCCCCCACCCCCGTGTGATGCTGTTAGGAGATGGGGCCTTTGGTGGGTGATTAGGTCATGAGGGTGGGGCCCTCATAAGTGGGACAAATGTCCTTCTAAAGGAGACCACAGAGAGCTCCCCTCGCCCTCTCTCCACCATGTGAGGACATAGTGAGAAGACGGCCATCTATGCATCACCAGACACCAACCGTCCAGAGCCTTAATCTTGGACTTTCCAGCCTCCAGAACCATGAGCAATAAATGTTTGTTGTTTAAGCCACCCAGTCAAACCCTCCTACGCAGCTGGAGGGACTGTAAATTGGTGCAGCCACTATGGGAAACAGTATGAAGGATCCTCAGGCCACTACAGATGGAACTGCCATATGATCCGGCAATCCCACTGCTGGGTGTACACCCAAAGGAATGGACATCATCATGTCAAAGGGACACCTGCACTGCCATGTTCATCACAGCTCTGTTTACAGTAGCCAAGAGCTGGAACCAGCCTGGATGTCCACTGACGGAGGACTGGATAAGGAAAATGTGGTGTATATACACAGTGGAATACTACTCTGCCATTAAAAGGAATGAAATTCTGCTATTCACAGTACATGGATGAACTTAGAGAAAATCATGTTAAGTGAAGAAAGCCAGGCACAGAAAGAGAAATGTTACATGTCCTCACTCATAAGGGGGAGCTAAAAAATAAACAAATGAAAAAAAAAAAGACACAACAATCACAACAACAACTTGAACTTCCAAAAGGAGAGAATGGAACTGAGGCCAGCTGGGGGGGGGGTATTGGGGAGAAATTGGTAAAGGGCTGCAGAAAATAAATGAACAAACCACCCAGTCCCCACACAGGGCAGCCACAGCCTCACACAGGGACCCCACCCTGCCCCAGAAGGTCAGTGAGACACACTAGCCGCTGGGCTCCCCGGCCCTGGTCTCACCGAGAGCACGCAGGCCTCTTCCTGCCAGCACCCCCCCCCCACCAGCCTGCTTACCTGCACCTGCCCCAAGACCACGGCCATCTGCTCCACGGCTGTGGACTGCAGGGCCCTGGCTGCCAGGATGAGCTCCCCACCGAGGCCCAAGTGCTGCAGGTGGGTCTCCAGGGCTGCCCGGGCCAGCTTGGCAAGGCCTTTGACCACCATGATGGCGTCCCCCAATGTGGCAGCCATCGTCCAGGGCTGGAAGAGAGGAGGCCAAGTCAGGGATGGGGTTCCACACCTCACACTGGCCAGCACGACCCTTCTGATCCAGGCTGACCATGAGAAAAGACACAGCCAGGGCTCAAGGTGGCTGCCTCGCTCAGGTCACTGGGCAGAACTGAAGACCGTCCTTCATGTGTGGTGAACTCAGGGCTCCCCACATTCCCTCCCCTGGGCCTCACAGCAGCCCTGTGAAAACCTGGGGTGCAGGGAGGTGAAGTAATGTGCAGCATGACTGGGACTTCCATCGGTGCTGACTCCCACCCCAGCGGTCTTGGTCTGGACCAAAGCCACATGCTGGGCCGGGAGCACCCGAGTCTGGGGACAGCTCCCTGCAGGCCTGGGGCTGCTCAGCACGGCGGTGCCCCGACTCAGACCCGCAGAGGCTGGTGCCACCAGTGCCTTCCCCAAGGCTCCTGCTCCGCCCCACGGAGCCTGTGACAGACACCCACAGACTGAGGGACAACCCAGGCCAGACCCACAGTGCAATCAACTTGGAAGATCCTGACCAGCATTAAAAAGACATGAACAGCCACAAGATGCAGCACAGAAAAGCGCATCAGGGAGCAGCGTGGGGAGCCCTGTCCCCTGAAACCGGTTTTGCTTGGTTGTGCACCCTTCTCTCTCCCTCTACTGTGTCACAGTGTACAACGTGCTTCTTCAAGTCATCAGGGTCAGAGAAGTGACAGCCACGGTGCACGGCGTGCTCAGCCTGTGGCTGTGGCATCAGTCATTGCTGGGGCTGCATGCTGGGGGTTAAGACAAGCTCCTGTTAGCATCCTGGAGGCTGCAGGAGAAGACACGAGGACGAAGGGACAGCAGGAGACCCTCCCACTGAAGCGTCCCTGGAGCACTCTGGCCAAGGCAGGAAGGGCTGGGTGGAGCAGTGAGCGGGGTTAAGTCTGAGATAAGAAGTCAGAAGCAAGAGAGGAGCGGGGTGTGGACACACTGCGGGCTGGGAACCCCAGGAACAAACAGTGCCGGCCGCAAAGGGCCAGACACGCCCAGGATGCAGGTGCGGCCGGCAGAAGGGAGGGGACGGTCCCTGAGACACCTCCTGGATTCAGTCTTCTCATCGCATGAACTCACACAAGCCCAGATGGGAAGGCCAGGTAAGAGGGTCCTAACGAGAGCTCTGGGCTCTTCCGAAGACGTCAGGCTCTGTCCCGTCTTCGTGGGGAGCAGACCCAGCCACTCCAGGGATTCCTGCAGGGATCGGCTCTGCTCTTGGACACAGGATAAAGCTACTTTTATTTAAAAGAACTGTGGTGACAGTCAGAGAAGCCCACTAATGCACAGGAGCCTGGAAACGTTGAGATGACCTGCCATCACCTGCCCTAGGAGACCACCTTCACCTTCAAAGGACAGCAGCAGCCACGCACTGGGCGGAGAGCTTTCCACACAATGTCACTTCCGATCTTCATAAACAACTCAGTGACATAGGTATTGTTCAGCCAATTTTACAAATGAAAAAACCAAAGTCAGAGAGGTTACCTGGCCATGGTCAAGCTGCCCTCACCTGCTCTGTGCCCACACCACGCTTAGCCCACCGACTCCAAGGGACCTCCACAGAGACAGGGCACAAATGACCGCCAGCACCCTAATCAAAGCCAGGGAGGTATGGGAACGTGACCATACCCTTGAAAGAGATGGGGGGCGGGGCAGGGAGCTGGCCCAGCCCATCACCAGGTGCCATTTCACACCCTGGGCTTTGCTCCGGCTCCTGCATTTTCTGGCAATAAACAAGGGTGAGCCCCACAGACCAAACCGGGAAGAGGCGCATAGTCAGGCTCACATGCAGCTGGCAGCAGCCCCTGGCCACCGCCCCGCTCCCCACAGACACCACTCCACTCACCACCCTCAATTCCAGAGGGAAAAGGGCCCACCAAGGCCCACTAGACCCTGGGGTGGGGGATATTTGTTCAGAAGGACCCTTGCTGGTGGCCCCAGGACCATCGACCACACCCCACTGCACCAGGGGGCCCCAGACACAGACCTTCCCTGGCTCATCTCAAAACCCAATCCAGACAATCAGACAGGAGTCACCCATAGACCACAGCCCTGATAATTCCAAAACCTCACCTTGCCCATACCTGATGTCAAATCTTCTCAGAACTTTCTACTAAGGCCTACTTAGTTCAGACTTTATTTTCAGGCTTACAACAAATTCTGCAGGAGCCTTCCATCCAAGTTACCACAAACACATACTAAAGTTTCCCCACGGCAAGGCTGGTAAGTGATTTTGTGGCCCATTTACCCTGGTCCTGATAACTTGGCCAATTTAGCCCGCCTGGCCCACTGCACAGATGGGCGTTCAATTTAAAAACCCATTTCAGGTCCTGCACGCAGCAGTGATACGGGACTGGGACTCACCGAGTCCTAGTTAGTCCGACCCTAACACAAGTCCATAGCAGGCTGAAATGACACCCAAAACTATTCATAAATGCTAAGTAACCAAAAAATTTTCAATTCCTGCATTTGGGAACTATAAGAAGTCATTGTTGTTACCAAACAGAAAGGAGTTCACCTGCCATGCACAGTCCAGCCAGTAATAAATCTCTACACAAAGATCTGCTGTACAAAAGATCAGCATTTATTGGAGGGCGCCAACCAAGGAGAACAGCCAGCTAACGTTGTACTCGAATTCCTCAAAGGCTTAGAATCATAGTATTATGCGGGTAAATTTTGGGAGCAGGGGTCTGGGGTCATGCTGGATTTTGATTGGCTCGCAGCGCCATCAGTAAAGCTTGACTGATGTCTTCCCGGCTTCTCAGGGTCTGGCTGGTACCTGCCTCGTAGCAAGGCTGCGGTTCCAGGTTGTCTGGAAGACAGCTCGACACATGTAAATGATGTCATCCTGCCTCATTACCAAGGTTCAAAATGTCAAATAAAGGTGGGAAAAAAGGGAGCTCAGAGAAATGCATGCTAAGTGAGCCTGTATGCCTGTCTTATATTCTGTTAGGCAAACGTGCTCCTATTTCTGGGGATCCAGCTAGCAAGTCTGCCTTGCAAACTTCCTTCAAGGCTGAGGCCTGCTCCAGCCCTGGGAGAAAAGGATCAGAGCATCGATTGTGGGGTCCTGCTGTTACACTGTCACTTTCAGTATTTTTCTTACTGTATTTTCCTGGCTTTTTCAGTTCATATATCCACCTTTCAAAACAGCAAACAATTAAGTCATCTAAAAAAAAGTGCACATTAAAAAGTAATTAATTATGCCTTCTTCCTGCGTAAAGGGCTGCATTGTACCCACCTACTGAGCTCCCGAGGGGGTGCCAAGTCTCACCCTAGAGAGTGGGCACCAGGTCTGGGAGGAGAGGCGACAACAGCCAGTTTCCCTGCAAGGAAGGTCCCATCTATGTGGAAATCACCACCGCAGAAATATATGTTCCTATGTACTGCGAGGCAAAACCTGTTTTTCTCAAATAAACAATCACTGCTAAGAAACAGATGTCGCTAGTACACACAGGCTGTCGCTTGTGAGCAGATGAACATGTGGATGTGTATTTCAAAACTGCGCCTGTAGCCACCCTCCTTTGACAAATATTTACTGGATTTACGTACCATGCGGGGGGCTGGACCCAAACCTCCCTCCCTCCAAAGTGAGCCCTAATCCACACTAGGTACTCTCTTGCAAGGGAGTCTCTGCCAGAAGGAAACATCTTTCCAGAACTTTTCTTACCTTTGGGTTTTCAGAAATTGCATCTCAACCCTACTTTGAATGCACTACCATCCCAACATGAATCATAATCCAACTATCCAGAAATTTTGCTGCAAACCCCTCCAGGAACACACTGAGAACCAGGCACCCAGCTACACCATCAGCAGCGTCGTCCTGACTTTAAATAAGTCCAAAGGCTCCAAAACCCACTTAATACACCAAGTCAGAACGCTCTCAGCACTGTGACTTTGTCTACAGGTTATCAGAATCCTCACCGGGATCACCAGCGCCCACCCCCCTGCTCCAAGCTGCTAGTCCCTGAATGGGTTTGGGGGACCTCATCTATGAGTGACACAGAAACAGAGTGTTCTTGTCCTTTGTCCTCCTGGCAGAGAGGCCTCCCGGAAGGTCTTGGTGCTTATCTGTTCTCCTCCGAGGAGGGGAAGGCTGTAAGTGCCAGCTGACCACAAACTAACAAAGCGGTGGGGTGGGGACGGGCACTCACGTCTGGGAGTGCCACCAGCTCAGTACTATTCCACAAGAAAGAGCCATTCGGTCGTCCCTTCAACACATATTCACTAGCATCCCCTCCTGGTGCCCTGGGCGAGTCCCTGCAGGTCCCGGGATGAACCTGCCCTGGCCTGGGTGCTCACAGCTGCGGTGGCATGCAGGCACGTCTGTAATGGACACAGATACCTGGGAGGTGGCCAGGGCCCAAGTGACGCTGACATGCAGGAACAGAAGCAGATGCAGAGGTGGTGGCCTGAGCGGGTGGAAAAGGCCATCCACTGAGCCTGGACACGGGGTCCCAGCTGCTGACACTGAGCGTGTTAGCCGGTCTCTTCTGTCCCTCCCGAGTAGGAGAGGGCTCTGAGTGGCTCACCGGTCCCTTTTCTGGTCCTAACATACCATACTGCTATAGAGGAAGTAAATAAAGATATTGTCTAGGGAGAGAAAGAACTGGAATCAATGCAGCTTCCACCCCCAGGGACGGAGACCGAGAAAGCAGCTCAAGGCAGCATCCCCTGACATGAAAGTCCTCAAGCTCCATGGGGACGTTTCTGGAGACTTTCAGAGACACCAAGTCACCCACGCTGCAGAGGAGGCTGCAGACCTGGCATTCCGATCCCACCTGCATGTCAGCTGGAATCGGCAGGGCAGGGCGCCTGCAAATCTAGTCTCCGAACTCAAAAACACCCAGCAAGGGATGCCCACCTGGCCAGGCACATTAAGCTGGATCAGCAGGAAAATGAGTTGTGTTCTTCTTAAAAATAAGTAGAACAGGCGATCCTGACAGGCAGAAAGCAAACGGAGC